TATATAATTGAGATTTGCCGGTCTTTGGTAAGGACGGATGTACCAACCGAACTTATCTGAACAGAATAGCACAATACAGTCCACTTCAGGAACTCTCCGGAGACAAGACAACAGTGACCGCTGGTGAGCTGTTAACAAGATATTGTTTATACTTGCTCGCATCTAGACATTTTGAGGATCAAGGCAAAGTGACCTTTTGGGGCACCACCTAACAATCCCAATAGGATACCAGTCCTTATGAGTTTATGGACTATGATAGTTATAGCCTATCGCAAGCTCATCAGCATATTTATACCGGCAGAAAGATTTAGGCCTGTATATTTACGACCCGAATGTCCTGACGAACAAACGACTTGGGAGACCTAAAATAGGTCTACCGATTTCATCTGAATGTATGGCCCATCTTGGGGGCAAGGTAGCTCGGTGGTTAGAGCGCGAAATTACTGACCGGAAGGTCCTTGGTTCGAATCCGGCCTCTACCTCTCAACTTACCCTGTCTAGGCTTGGGCAATCTGGTACTATTCCAGTCCTGGTGTTTCATTCTGGTAGCATAGCAGTTAGGCGCGGAAAGAGTGCTACAGCTGAACGATGGATCGTCTGGTCAATCATGTGCAAAAGAGGAAGTGGCCTGCATGTTGGTTATTCTCTACATCATATCAGTAAGAAGTGGAATTAGAAGAAAACCAAACGCCCCTTGGTTTCTCTGCCTGGTAATATTTCCCACACAGACATACCCACTTCTAACCAGTGAAACATTGATGGCTTGACAATTTTGTATCCATTATTAAGCTAAGACTGGGTGTTCCATTGTGAAAACTGTAAGTTCCTGTGTGTACTGCCTTACGGATCTTTTTCCTTTTCATTGAGGTATGATTGCAACTCCCTCGATTGTGTTTTCTTTGTCATCCATAAGCTCAATGAAAAACATTCTGACACGGAATACATGCTATATCGCCATGTTCGTCCATTCGAATTTTGCAGCAGAGCTCAGAGCTTCACCTTTGAATTCTCCGGCTTAAAAAAGCTTCCTCGTATTTTTCTGCATCTTTACGTTTTCAGTCTCTTAGTCCGACAGGCCTGTCTTGAAAGTTTCGAGCCTGTCCCTCCAACATCAGAAGCCTTTCCTGATCCGTACTTTGAAGGTGCTTGGTTACGTGGGGATGCGTGCGACCTCAAGAGCAACCCTGAAGTCAGTGTTTGGACATCTTTCACCAACTTTCTGTTTGGCACTAATCCACGTGTTTGGTCGACTGCACAGACTGCTGGCGAAAGGCATTCGAAAAAATCGGCATTTGATCAAGAACTGGATACCGATACTCCAACTTTACCCGTAAATGAAACAAACCATTTAGGCAGTTTGTCGAAAAAGATTGACTTTGCAGTTCCGGGCAGCCCTATGGTTTTATTTCATGAGCTGGCCCAATCCGACGCCACGAAAGCATTGGCTCAAAATGCTGGACAAATGACACGTATTTTAGAACGCACTCCGGTTTTCCTCACGGAAACACGGGCGCACAATGCAGCTTGGCTTTCTCGGCTGCACTCGTCCGTCAATGTCACGGTCTGTATAGAGAAGTTGTTTCCTGCCGAGGCAACGGTTCATTGGTTTGCTAGTCGGTAAGTTACCTTGTTCGATCTAATTTTACCCTTTGTGTCCTCCAACACAACCTGCCCTTCTCCGTATGTCTTTGTTTTTCCGTGCTCGGTACACATTATTGTCGGTTCTATTTTTTTTTTGCAAATTCTGCGGTGACCGAGTTACTAGGAGACACTCGTGACACGTAGGATCACTATCCACTGACCGGTGGAAGTCTCGTCAACAACACTTCTTATTCGGAAAAGCTATCGTGTTTGGTGAACGGAACCGCACTACTTTAAAGGCGCTGACTGTATACCATAATACATCAACCATTCTTGAGCAAACTGGTCGCTATGACTTGGGTACAGTCCTTCTAGGTTACATACTTCCGCAGACTGATTACTTATTATCTTAAACTAAGGTTTGATCTACCGGTAGTCGTTTTTGTTCTTTGGGCAACTCATCGCGTCTTTTCCACGGAGGTGGTGGGTGTTTGTTTTAACGCGAAAGGACGCTTCGAACGCATCTTAGTCGCATCTCAGTCTACTCCACATTCAACTCTAGCAGCGTAGTTGAGGAAGACCACATCGACGAGTAAGGTTGAATTTTTTCTAACTATATGCTAGAGCACGAAGATGTCCCCATGTCATAGTGCGTATGAGATCGACACCCAAGTCCTTGTTTCTCTCGCCTCAGGTCTTTGGATTTACCTGTTCAAATAATTCTGTTGCAAACACATATCTGGTCATAAACTGGAAACAAGATCAAGTAACCTTATATGTGATAAGTGTTTCGTACAATTATCCCTCTCGAATGGAGGCTGTCAAAGATAGTACTTCCCAGGTTAGCCAATGGTGTGCACGGTCCTTCAGATTTTCATGGGGTTTCAAATCTCCGTAGGGTTCCCAATCTCCCCATAGCCTCCATGGTTTTGTTCCCGGTGAGTGATTTTGCTCTTCGAGAAAGACCATTTACAAAATGCATTTAGTGGGCCTAATGAGAAAGTAAGTGTCGTATTTCCTTGAACACAAGCTAGAGCATGCATGGTGACAAAACTTTCTGTCCAATCTAGTTAATCTATTCGAAAATTGATGTCAGAGTTAGAAAAATAAATTTACTACTGGGTAGATTTTGAACTTTATCCAAATATTACAGTTTTGACTTTATTTGCATTGTGACTGTTGCCTACTATGGCTTGTAAACTGCAGTCTTGGCTAGCAGTCTCCCAGTGGACTACACAGTCCTAGGTCCCCGCATTTTGTCTTACGATTCTTCACTTAAAGATTTCTGATGAAGACATTGAAGTCATCCACCTATGACTAATTAGTTGCTAGTATCTCGCCCTCAAACACTTCACTGACATATGCTTATCTCACAACCGTTTATTCTGTCTGTTGTCACATGCACTCCAACACATTGCGTGCACAATCTTCCATTTCATCAAATTACTTTTGAGTCATATCATTTCAGCCTTATCTACAGAGGTCATTTCCGCAATCACTAGTCCGCATTCTCAAGTGACCTCATTATTCTCACTTCCTCCAGTTGGTTGTAACTCTGTGTCCATATACTCCTTTCATATTCGCATGTTTCAACGCCCGTGCACTGCTGAGTGCTGGCTAACAGGCTGGTTTGGTCTGTACATTGGAGTTACGGAATGACTGTTGCCTTTCAGAAAGATGCTTGCAAGACCAGAGTGTCGTGAACTATCTTTTCTTTCCTACTCACCAGAGCCTTTTTCCCGCACGACTTCCGGACGATTAGGTTTTCAGCACTAGGTCAAGCTGACATCGGCATATCGCCGAATGGAAGGGCTGAGGCTGTGTTATTTGGCTGAATAGAGATAAAACCGACCTGCTCTCTTCAAGTAAGCAAACAGGGGGAGGGAACAGAATACTGTATTCGTCATCGCAACGTATGCCTCCGCCAGCTGGAGTTTAAGAGAGAGAGAGAGAGTTAGAATTTGCATGAACTGTTGCACAAAGTGCCGACGTGCTGTTATTAAATTGCGATTAAACCGAGAATGCAAGGTCGGATGTTGTCGAATAACGATAACTTAGGTATCGTTTCAGGAGGACTGAGTTTAAGAAGAGAGAGAGAGTTAGAATTTGCATGAACTGTTGCACAAAGTGCCGACGTGCTGTTATTAAATTGCGATTAAACCGAGAATGCAAGGTCGGATGTTGTCGAATAACGATAACTTAGGTATCGTTTCAGGAGGACTTGGTAAACAATCGGTTCGAAATTTTCTCCAGTTTTTGGCTTTTGATCAGAAATTATAGGTAGGCTTTTACTTCTCTTCTCTCGGGTCTTTGATATTTCAGGCGTCATTATTCCGCTTGATTCTTTACAACTCACCAACAAAGCTCGGTGCAAATTTATCACATTGGAATCAGTTGGATGACGTGGCTGCGTTCAGTATCGCCGGTCTTACTCACCAGCTGGCATTGGTTCTGACTGCTTGAGTTTGTGTCAAATTATCGATCAGCTTTCCCTGACTCCTAAAAGCCTAATAAAAGCGATTGAACCTCAATAGACTGTTCGGTCCTTTCTTTTTCTCTGTTTACGAACTTACGCCTATCGTGGCTTATATCCGACCCAATTACACAGTCCCACCAGACAGTTTCACAGGATGTTATGTGCTCAGCCGCGTTATTCAGCTGTGGTGAAACTAATTAAATTGTGTTTTGTTAGTTTGCAGCCCAGCCTCCCAAGTTAATGCCACTGGGTTCATGCTGATGCGTGCTCTATGTCAACCTCAGGCTCCTTGTGCATCGCAGTTCGTGGTGGTCTGACCGTGCAGCAGAGATGGAAGGAGACACTTTAAACAGTTATGAGAGACTTAATACCGTTTTCGGGATGATCCAGGAACCAGATGGTGCGGCAGTGATCAATATTCGAAGACGTCTATAGCAGTGGGATGAACTGGCGTCAACTGGCAACCAGACACCGTATTCGTGTTTCTCCGACAGAACCAGGGATTAAGGGGAACTTGAGAACTTCTGACCGGCTGAGGCACCTGGCCCAGATATTCTTCCATATACTCTTTAAATATAATAGTAAACCTTGTTTTCCAAGTTGCCTGTTCGTGAGCTGGATCTTCTGCAGTGAGAAGAGTGTTGATAGCTCAGTTTGTGTTGATTCCCACTGTTCTTCTCTGACGTGGGAATTTACTTGCAAGTGTTGCACCAACAGTCGAAACAATGCCATCAACGCGCAGTATATATACGTTGCGTTGTCCTACAGTGGTGCGGCCGAATGTAGACGCTAGTATTCGGTCAACTCCGTTGCTTAAAACGATTGTGGAAGCTGAAGCAGTCAGATTGTTCAACTGCTGTCCATTTTCCACCGATAATTTTGACTCCGTTCACCCAGAGCTCTGATTTTGGCCTTTTTAAAAGGCATGTCTGTTTTTTTTCCTGATTTCCTCTCTCGCGGTTCGTAAGCAGGATGTAATTTCAACTGTAATGTTATCCCGGCTTCTCAAATATGTGTTCCGTTTTCACAGCAGTCCAGCTGGCGAACGACCCCCGCCTAGCATTGTTCGTGGTGAGGACCTTATTAACTTGCAGACCGTTGTGCCCTATCCGTACCTGGGTTGCACGGCGCGCGACATTTGGTATCTTCAACTGAACGAATCGGACGTGATGTACAACTGGTATGTTTTGGCTCCCATGCTTCTTTTATATATATAACCATCCTGGTTGTAAGAGTTCTGCTTATCATCGAGGGACTACTTACTGCACATGACCTAGGAAGTGTCTGGGCATTCTCATAGGAGGGGCCCTTAATAGTGTCCCCGTAGTGCATTATCTCTCAGTGTATTCACTGATTCGAGGTTGTACCTTAATGTTAGAATTCTCTCTGTAAGCCCAACTCTGAAATGTGTATCCAAAAATACTCGCCTGCAGGAATTAGAAACGGATTCCCGAACTTTGAGTGCGGATAAACATTGCAGTGTTATTCACTCAGGATAGCATATAGCTTCATTCGAATATCGATTGTCTGTAAGTTGATTGAATTCATCTGTTGACATGCGACTGATGGCGTCTCGATATTCCATGGATGCTCTGATTCCCGCCATCAGCTCCGATGGCGCCTTTTGGTGTGGCAATTCAGTTTATTTGATCCGTCCAGTGTGGATCGTTGGGAATGTTTCGTCATTATGCCTTTGATCCTCCATTCGCATGGTCCTTCATCTGGTCCGGGTGTAGTTGATCTCTGGGTTCAAAATTATGGTTCTATTGTAGTCCAAGAACAATGGGACTGGAACACCTAGGTGGTTTTCCGCAGGAGGGAGAGGGCTGTCCTTAGAAATGAACTGTTTGGAAGGCCCAGCTTGCTTTGGACAGCGCGACTTGCCCCTCCAGAAAACCTCTATAGTCCGGGCGACGAAACCATTCTTTTCCATTCACTTAATTCACTTGTTTTGACCGTATTCCTTGGTAGGATAGGTTTACTCTGTAATGTGAATTATTTGCATCCCAAAGAACCAGATGGACCGCTCTAATCCAGCCACATGAGCTTTCGCTCGGCCAATGCTCGGCTTCGCCTCCATATCGCATGTGACGTCTTCACAATTGGTTTATCCTCACGCGCCTTTTTTTCACTTATAAGGACGACATCTATTGACTTGCTTAACCTTCTGAATCAATGATCGCATCCAAATCACGACTGGACAATACCTGCCCTTGTAAGTAAGCATGATTGTACACACGGTAAATACGGGCCGCATGTTGAACAGCAATCAAATGATGACTCACTTCTGACCGTGTTTCATAAGGTCAAGCACAAACCAACCCCGTCCTAGTCACCACCAGTCACACTCTAAAGCACTCAAAGTCTATCTTGTCTGCGTTGTCTAACGCACAAACTGGAACCCTTCATGTTGTTGTCTGACCAGTTTACGCTTAATTGTAAAAACTACTTGGAGCCGTTGCCTATAGCAGCCGAAACCTTAGGACTAAAACAGTATAACTAGAATAACGGTGCCTTGAGTTAAAACTATCCAGCTCTTAGTTCTTTCTCTAGCATAGCTTGGATGCACGCGGGACTTTTACTCGGGCCAAGTACGGATAGTCGACCTGGATTGTTGAGTGCGTCCGGCGTTCAAAAAGTTCGCTTGGCGTGGCGTGCGAAGGCCGAAGTCGTTAAGAAACAAGGTTTATTTTAAAAAATGTGGCAATATATGGGGGCCTTAACTTTACGATTTTCAAACTGTTGGAACTGCTCGCCAAACGCACCGGTGCTTGTCGAGTTTGAACTCAAAATCCGGAAAACCTGTCAACATGGAAAACATCACCACTGCTAAGCTACGTTTTGCACAAAATGAGCATGAAAGTTGCATACCCAACTTTATAGAGCACCACAGAAGTGCGGCCTGGGGACGAACACAGTAAAATACCCCCGGGTTTATTCAAGCTTCCGCAAAGCCGATAATTGTGGTCATGGACTGTAAATTTAACAACCTATTCGGTACCTCCGAATCTAGTTTTCAAACTGTTGTTTCCTGTACCCAGTGGTCCTCTTTGGACCCCCTGTGGTTATTTTCGAGTAAGAAGGCCCGTTTATTGAGGGCTGCCTATTGGTCTCCTAGTGAGCTAACTAAAACAAACGCCGAAGTGTCACAGAGTACAATGTAGCTTGGGTTGTAAATTTGAAATTTGTGGTAAACGTTTCCAACGTGGTGAGTTTATTGGATGAGTGTTCCCGATACGGAACTTTCAATGACGTGTAGGTTCGACAATCCCGAATATCAAAAGGAAGAATTGGGTTCAAAAGTCTACGGTACTATTTACACAAGAGTATACAAATCTATGTAACAAACCTCAATTGTCCATGATCGTGACGTTAAGTGCACAGGTCTTTCACTGGTCAGTACAATTCAGTGTCAACGTCCGCACACCAAACAACACTGGGCGGAATATTGGCTCAGTAGTGTGGGTTGCTGCCGCCCCTTCCGACTACAATCTCGTGATTCTGATTGGCGGTGCGATCACGCGGAACTCTTGAGAGAGTAAGTCAGGGTAGGCTCAGCAAACAGGGCACGAAGGCACATTCTCATGCAGACATACATGCTATTACATAGGTGTCGGACCGCACGGTCTTTCGGCTAGGTGAGTGGCGGAATAGATGATCAAAACAAGTGGCGGTCGAAAGTACGTAGGTGGAGTAAGCAAAGGAATCGGGGAATTATCATGAGGTCAATTAGATTCAATAATGGGGACAAGGAACTACACTCAACTTTGCACAGCAATTTGGATTTGACTGGAATCCCATTGGGTCTCTCGTTTACGATGTTTTTTTTTAATTTCGTGCTATTTGAGTTCAATAGAGCATGAGGTTGACGGAAACTCGGGAGTTGCGCTTACCTGATGGGTCCCAAAAAGTGCAAAACTGGTCTTGGGCTGTCGAAGAGTTGTTGACGGAAGGGAGTTGCGCTTACCTGATGGGTCCCAAAAAGTGCAAAACTGGTCTTGGGCTGTCGAAGAGTTTTCAACAACCTGATGAATGAGGGATTACGTTGGGTAATTTTGGGGTCGAAATCGTTTCCTCATTCCTACGACAAACTGATCTGTATTGCAGGAAGATTTACGACTGTCCCGAAAGACTGTTGGACGGCTGGTTGACAAACAATCAGGCGGGCCTCGATGCGGTTACTGTGCCTTTCCAGTCAGCAACAGCCCAACCCGACGTATTCTCAGATACACACAAAACAGGTGGTACTGCCTTAGCACAACACACCCTCGAGGCTGCTGGCGAGCCTACAGCCTCAGACAACACTCCACGAAAACCAAAAGAAGCTCCTGGTCATCCAAAAACAACACCATTTTGGGTAAGTCATGTGACAAGTTCTTTGGTACTGTTGAACGTGGAATTCTCAGTATGCAAAATCTACGTGGTACTTAGCTGCCTCTCTTGGTAGGGGGACAGCCTCGCTGAACCTTAGTTCCCTAATCATCTTGTTTTCTGCATCTTCCAACACCGTAATTTTCTTGAGATTGACCTCTGTGAAGATATAGCATCACAACATCTCCCATCAAACACGGATGACAGTCTCTGTATTATACTCTTTTGCAGCTTAGTAGTCGCACCATTTCAGTCTGTTTGGCCCTTCTCTTTGAACCCGAGATTTTTCTGTGAAGTATCATCAGATTTATGTATCGGTTGTTTTGAAGTCGATCCACAGGTTTGCGCCGTTGATCTGGTCCCATCTTGCAGGCGTTGAACATGGCTTACAGATGTTAGTGCACAGCGATGTTTGTCAAAAACGCATTACCGTAATTTCCAGTTGACCTAATCAAAGACCGGTAGTTCCAGGAAGGGGCTGTTCGTGAGCCCTTTTAAAACCACTTCAGAGAATACTAAATCCATTCAGGTACATCTCGCGAATAAACCATATGGTTCCTGTGGAATTTTGGTTTCGATAAACTCAGCAGTCAGGTAATGGGAAAAGAATCGTTTATTACCGCAGAACTCATCGCTTTACGGTTGATGACACGGTCAACCGACCATCCTTCAACCGATCATCAGTCTTACTACCTACGATTGAAGGTAAATATAGACCGCGATCGTCCAGCCAACAAGACCTTTGATTTGGTGAATGAGTCAATCGGGGAAGCAAGATTCAGTCACTCCGGTCGGCCCGGTGTACAACGTTTGGATGGTCCGGGTTCGATCCCTCATGGGAGTTTGGCCTCTGTATACTTGAGGTTTCAGCGACAAAATACTTTTTAGCTGCAATTGGTGGCGGATTTGTAGAATTCGCTTTCACAGCACACTCGTGTGAACCGTGTTCTCCTTGTTTTGGTGCAGTTATTCTGGTGAGTCCACACCAGAGGAGAAACCACTAGGCTCTAGTTTCGCTGTTATTAGAGTTCATCAATAGTGTACATCCTTCGTCGTGCTAGGCTTTGACACGACATGGGAGGTGATCGTGGTACCATACTTCACCAGCACACACTTGAGGCACCTGAACCATGTCTGAACAGGTGAGCGATGCGATGTTCTGCCTGATACCTCGGAAGAAGACCCCGCAATTGTTCTGGTTGGGTTGACTCTCTGACCTGCTCACCAGAACTTCCTAGTCAGCTGGGTCACGGACGCCTAAAACATGCTGGACAATTTTTAACTGAAATCAATAGACCAGCAAGCCCCAACTAAGCTTGAGTGTCCAATGTGCTTATTAGAACAGCTTCTGATAAATTTGTTCGCAAAACCCAGTACTTTCCACGATGAGCCGAGTTTTTTTGGAGGTAGCGGGGCTTTTTTCCTTTGTCTGATTTCAGAGGAAACTCATACCAGCAACTGGCCCGCACAACCCGGCAGGCTGATGCGCTTTTGATTTTCCATTAGTCTTCTTCCTTAAGAATGAACTAGAACTTTGTGAAGAAATTTTATAGGCACGGGGTTAAATGCTAGTAACCCTAAGAGAATGCGCCCATAAGTAGAGTGCAGTTTGGGCCGCTCCATTAAAGTGTAAGTACAGATGATGTCCCTAGCTTCTTCAACTTAACATCAGCGCACTGACGGGACATGGCTTCTGCATCAGCTATTTTCGAGGTCCTGTTAGATATTGTAAATCTGACTCCATACTCTCGTTCCTTCCACTGAGCAACCGGTCTCACTGGTGCATCATCCCAGCGACGGCTCAAGGTAAAAACACGTTCGCATGCCCAAGTGTAATAACTCAGACGCGTGCGACGTGCATTGTGGGAGTAGTGGCAACACATTTCGAAGATCTAGAGTTCTTAATATGAGCATGCACATCAGTGAGCTCTAATAAGGACGAAATTCGTCCACTTTGATACAGACTAACTTGAACAGTTACACTGAGGCAAGGGGCCGATTGCTCAAATGAAAGATGAGGTGTGGATTACGTCTATACAATAAGACAACGATTTTGCAGTAAATAGCACCATGCACTGTTTTACCATACCCCTTTCTGTGTGCGGTGAATCTCATAATCTTGTACAATTTTTAGAATTTGGGGTCGCAACGACACTTTTCCGCGCTCAACATTAAGTCAACTTACGTAAGAAGTCCTCGTAGATATAAATGCAAATCCTTATTGGTATAGTATGACGAATAAGACATGTTCCTATCGAATCTTGATTGCTCCTGTGTTAATTTAGGCTGCCTAGCAGTGCCTCATCCCTGATAATTTCTTATAGTTGTATGACAGGTCTTGCCAGACGAGGCGCATGCAGGGTGTAAATTACATAGCTCACCACAAACTGGGCAATTTTTGGGGTCGAAATCGTTTCCTCATTCCTACGACAAACTGATCTGTATTGCAGGAAGATTTACGACTGTCCCGAAAGACTGTTGTACGACTGGTTGACAAACAATCAGGCGGGCCTCGATGCGGTTACTGTGCCTTTCCAGTCAGCAACAGCCCAACCCGACGTATTCTCAGATACACACAAAACAGGTGGTACTGCCTTAGCACAACACACCCTCGAGGCTGCTGGCGAGCCTACAGCCTCAGACAACACTCCACGAAAACCAAAAGAAGCTCCTGGTCATCCAAAAACAACACCATTTTGGGTAAGTCATGTGACAAGTTCTTTGGTACTGTTGAACGTGGAATTCTCAGTATGCAAAATCTACGTGGTACTTAGCTGCCTCTCTTGGTAGGGGGACAGCCTCGCTGAACCTTAGTTCCCTAATCATCTTGTTTTCTGCATCTTCCAACACCGTAATTTTCTTGAGATTGACCTCTGTGAAGATATAGCATCACAACATCTCCCATCAAACACGGATGACAGTCTCTGTATTATACTCTTTTGCAGCTTAGTAGTCGCACCATTTCAGTCTGTTTGGCCCTTCTCTTTGAACCCGAGATTTTTCTGTGAAGTATCATCAGATTTATGTATCGGTTGTTTTGAAGTCGATCCACAGGTTTGCGCCGTTGATCTGGTCCCATCTTGCAGGCGTTGAACATGGCTTACAGATGTTAGTGCACAGCGATGTTTGTCAAAAACGCATTACCGTAATTTCCAGTTGACCTAATCAAAGACCGGTAGTTCCAGGAAGGGGCTGTTCGTGAGCCCTTTTAAAACCACTTCAGAGAATACTAAATCCATTCAGGTACATCTCGCGAATAAACCATATGGTTCCTGTGGAATTTTGGTTTCGATAAACTCAGCAGTCAGGTAATGGGAAAAGAATCGTTTATTACCGCAGAACTCATCGCTTTACGGTTGATGACACGGTCAACCGACCATCCTTCAACCGATCATCAGTCTTACTACCTACGATTGAAGGTAAATATAGACCGCGATCGTCCAGCCAACAAGACCTTTGATTTGGTGAATGAGTCAATCGGGGAAGCAAGATTCAGTCACTCCGGTCGGCCCGGTGTACAACGTTTGGATGGTCCGGGTTCGATCCCTCATGGGAGTTTGGCCTCTGTATACTTGAGGTTTCAGCGACAAAATACTTTTTAGCTGCAATTGGTGGCGGATTTGTAGAATTCGCTTTCACAGCACACTCGTGTGAACCGTGTTCTCCTTGTTTTGGTGCAGTTATTCTGGTGAGTCCACACCAGAGGAGAAACCACTAGGCTCTAGTTTCGCTGTTATTAGAGTTCATCAATAGTGTACATCCTTCGTCGTGCTAGGCTTTGACACGACATGGGAGGTGATCGTGGTACCATACTTCACCAGCACACACTTGAGGCACCTGAACCATGTCTGAACAGGTGAGCGATGCGATGTTCTGCCTGATACCTCGGAAGAAGACCCCGCAATTGTTCTGGTTGGGTTGACTCTCTGACCTGCTCACCAGAACTTCCTAGTCAGCTGGGTCACGGACGCCTAAAACATGCTGGACAATTTTTAACTGAAATCAATAGACCAGCAAGCCCCAACTAAGCTTGAGTGTCCAATGTGCTTATTAGAACAGCTTCTGATAAATTTGTTCGCAAAACCCAGTACTTTCCACGATGAGCCGAGTTTTTTTGGAGGTAGCGGGGCTTTTTTCCTTTGTCTGATTTCAGAGGAAACTCATACCAGCAACTGGCCCGCACAACCCGGCAGGCTGATGCGCTTTTGATTTTCCATTAGTCTTCTTCCTTAAGAATGAACTAGAACTTTGTGAAGAAATTTTATAGGCACGGGGTTAAATGCTAGTAACCCTAAGAGAATGCGCCCATAAGTAGAGTGCAGTTTGGGCCGCTCCATTAAAGTGTAAGTACAGATGATGTCCCTAGCTTCTTCAACTTAACATCAGCGCACTGACGGGACATGGCTTCTGCATCAGCTATTTTCGAGGTCCTGTTAGATATTGTAAATCTGACTCCATACTCTCGTTCCTTCCACTGAGCAACCGGTCTCACTGGTGCATCATCCCAGCGACGGCTCAAGGTAAAAACACGTTCGCATGCCCAAGTGTAATAACTCAGACGCGTGCGACGTGCATTGTGGGAGTAGTGGCAACACATTTCGAAGATCTAGAGTTCTTAATATGAGCATGCACATCAGTGAGCTCTAATAAGGACGAAATTCGTCCACTTTGATACAGACTAACTTGAACAGTTACACTGAGGCAAGGGGCCGATTGCTCAAATGAAAGTGATGTGATTGTCACGCAACCATAACACAACCATAACGCAACCATACATAGGAGCGGGATGACTCAGTGGTTGGAGCGCGAACTTACTGACCAGAGGGTCCGTGGTTCGAACCCGACCTCTGTATCCCAACTTCTACTGTCTAGGCTCGGGCAACGTGACAGTATCATAGCCCTCAAGGGTGCTACAGCTGAACGATTATAACATATACATGCCATATTTGACCGGCTGGCCAAGGGCTTAAAGCACATCTGGCGCCTGGAAAATTAGTTCAACGTATTCACTTTAGCCCCATGCAGTGTATTTGCATGAATCTCGCAAGCGAATGCATTATTTGCGTGGCTTATGTACAAAATACTGCTCATTGGAGAGAGGAGTTCGATCGAAACTTGATGACTTTGTCCAAAACAGAATAAAATCGGTAAAAAGATGTCAGCTACTCATGATCCGTACACAAATATAAAATAGACTTGCACATAGATCTGTATACTGTGTGGGATCTCTAACCATTATAAGCTGGAACATTTAGGACCCTGTTAAGCAGGTTCGTTTCGTTCGCGGATTGGTTATCAAATTGTATCCTATCCACTTTTCTGTTCAGATCGATTCATTTTGTTGTCCCTAGCTGTTGTGACCGATATTCACGAGCTCTCTTTTTACCGTTACGAACTTGGTGAATGCACGGTCGTGAAGTATCCATGAGGACGCTGATGTTACTGTGTGATGAATGTGCCATACACTCCTAGTTGCTAAAAGTATAACATTTTGTGACATCTTGCCATTCGGGATGACGCCACTTTCGATGCCGTTTCGCGTTCACGATTCTTCAGGAGAATGTGTTTTGGAATTGATCTGTATCAGCTGATGAACTTGTGTGATCAGCTGACCGGTCACATGGGGTGCTGCAACTGTTTGAGACTATAGCGTATCGGCTGAGTGTATCAGCTGAATTTGTCATTATTTAAATACGAGTTTTTGACCTATACGCATCGTACTTGGTAAGGTGCAGACTAGGTTCAGTCAGCTGCAGTCCGGTCGTTAGCTTAAAGCTGCCCACCTGATTATTAAATGCGTGACTAGATAACATAAATCAAGGGTTTTCGCTACTGAAGGATTGTTCTGAGACAAAGTCGGACTAATGATATGACTTCATTGAATCAGAAATCGTCCAAATCTAGGTAGTGCAGTCATTTTGCAAAATATCCGTTTTACATGAGAATAAACCCCGTCATATCCGCCGTCGCTTGTGGAGTTCTTTTCATCAGTGAGCGTGAATTCCATGAATGTTTACCGGCAATCGATGAGGATTCCAGGCGTGCCAATCACGTATCGGTTTGAAGCGTTGCCACTGTTAATTAACACAGCCCATTTTTACTCATTGCATTTGGTGGGGCGCTTACTCGGGAAATATTATCATCATCATTGTCAGCTGCAATAACCGCGTACTTGTCGTACAGTGGTTGTAGCTGCCACAGTTTCATTCACCAATGATTCGGGGAGGTGGGATTGGTAGCTGAGCATTGGAGGCGGGAGCTGATAAATTCGTACGTACAGCACTGTCAGCGGACTGTTAATGGGGAGATTGGAAAGGGAGCTATGCATTGAAGGCACTAGCTTGAATGCACGAGCGCCATTGAGGGCGCGACTGGGCCATGTCTGACAGTGTCTTTAGCCATTGATGTGGCCCATCTCGGGATCCCCATCCAGGAAGACGGCAGTGACCAGCGCAGCTGAGTTTGCTGGTAAGTCATTTTCTGATCACCTCTGGCTCTCTCCCACCCTTCACATGGTTGTGCGAAAAGAGCCCTCCGAGGAAGTCGGTCGACTGGCATATGCAGCACGTGGCCAAGCCAGCACAACCTATGCAGTGTGATCATTTCACTTATCGAGGATGAGTTATTTCTCCTGATTACCATTCGACGAACGTCAGCATTGCTGATCCGGTGTTCCCACCAGACTCCGGTAATGCTCCAAAGACATCGATGGTCAAACACTGAAACTCTTTTGACGTCCTCGACGTGCAGCAACCAGGTTTCTGATCCGTATAGTAATATGAAGCGCACCGCAGCATTGTAAACTCGAGAAACACCGTCAGTCTATCCGGATACTTGCTGTCACTCACAACCCTGGGCCATTATTTTTTCTCAAAGTAAGTCATTTCATTTGAAAATGGGTTTTATTAGAGTCACTCCAAGAAGCTTATAATAACAATGGCTTTCATCTGAAGATGGTGAAGATTAATGTTTGAACCCGCCTGATTATTCAAGCTTTGCAGTCCGGAATGGTTTTTGGCTGCAGTAACCACTCAATTGTTCCATTCGATAAACCGTAAATGGTCTCTAGGTTTATCGTGCTTCCATCCTTTAGATTCGGTTTTTCTCTCACTAGACTCAACGGACGCGCTTCAGTTCTACACGTCGGCGATTTCACGCCAAAACATCGACTCACGTATAGCAACATGGTCAGTTGGGAAAATGAGGAACATGACCTTGACGTATACTTGAGTGATGCAGATAGTGAAATGAGCACACCTGCGGATACTTCAAAAGGAAAACGAAAAGTACGCAATAAACGAGGTGCCACGAACACAGTGCCAGAAAGTCGGAAAGCCGCTGAAGGTGATGCTTTTGCCGAAAGAACTTTTAGTACGACGAGCCTGGAGCCACCGACAACGGACTCCAACTCCAAGAAGATGCAAGTGAAGAGTACTGAAACGACGACAGTAGATCCCCAGCCGGTGACAAAACTGGACAAAGAAGATAAGGAAGCAACGGAGAGTGGCCGGTCGTCACCACACATGATAGTTACAGATAAGACAAAAATTAAGGTTCCCGAAGACGTTTTGCGTGCCCGTGAGGCCCAGCTTCCGCCTCTAAAACCCGGCTGTTGGGTTGCGGTTGGACTGTACACCACGCACACGCGTTACGACGTCCGTTGGCAAAACGGCTCACTTGAGCGTGACATCAGTTGTAAAGATCTGTTGCCTATCTACTTCAATATCGACGAACACGAGTTCTTCCCGGGTTCGGTGGTTTCTTCGAAAGGCGGTAAGCCTCATGTTTGTTTTAGATTGGATTGTTTTTGTCATATACCAGTGGATTATTAATAAGGCTGGACATTGAGCAAGTCATTTTACACATGGCTTCTGTTTGCTATCAGTTTGGTATGTACGTCACACGGACTTCCGCACGACCACAGTAACCCAGTAGTATAGGTTCCGCCACCTCAACTGGATGATTGTTTGATTGAAACAACAACGGACGTACAACATACAATAAATAAGTGGCCAGTAAAAACCAAGTATCATGATCAGTTTCTGTTGTATTCAATTGCTTTGTTTCACTGAAGGTTTCTGTCTACGGGTGTTCCACTCCCATACACTAATTTTGCGCGCAAAACTGTAGCTTTTGGAAAACCCTAACGATGAGACTATAGTTTGCCGTGATATGACGGTTTGTGCCTCTACATGGTCAACTGAACTATTCTGCGAGGTGTCCGTACGACACTCTCAGACACCAGGGCAATAGGTGGAGGTGGGAGTTGAAACTCATATGACAACTTGTTCTTTGAAAAACTTTGAAACTTTGAAAAACTTTAAAAAAAACTAATAATTAACTAATTAATTAACTAATTACTCCAGCACTCTCCTCCCACTTCCGGTTGTGCTACTCTGGCGGTCCATAGACCCCCACAATAGGCTGTGAAGGCGTGGGCGTCGTTTTGAGTCACCGCACGGATGGGTCTTTGCTTGACTGAATACTCGTCCATGGTCACCTTTGTATGGTTCATTTGGTAGCGTGTGTGAAAGGATCTCACAAACAGTAGTCTGTTTGTTTGTTTTTTTGTTATTGTGTTTGTTTACGCTTCAGTCGATTGCAGCTGGGTACTGTCGTTTCGAATCGCTCTCCAGGACGGGAGCTGCATGACCTGCATTACTGGAAACACTGCAATCGATGTTAGTGACCTTGTTGCCAGTTTCTGTCCAGATTTTTTTTACTTTGTCTGTAGGTGTTGCATACTTAGTTGTCGACAACGGTGATGCTTCTGAAAAAAAAACACTCCTGTGTGTTGCAGTTTTAGTCCAAAACACCTTCATGTTTTATGCGAATGTTATGGGTCACCGCTGGTGAACAACCATGGGGATATCTCATCTCTGATCACATATGGCTAAGTTATGTTGCTCACTTTACTGTATCTCATGGATCAGGGGATGAGATGGCACTGCTTGTTGGGGCGAGATGGCTTAGTGGTTAGTTCTCCAATTTACTGACAGGAAGGTCCGTGGTTCGAAACCGATCTCTACATCTCGACTTCTGTTTACACTTGGGCAACGTGGCAGTATCTGAGCTCTCGTGCTTCCCTCGGGGGGCAAGCCGCTAGGCATCGAAAGGGTGCTATAGCTGACAGAAGAATAGTTCTTCTTCGTGGAAAAGAAAGACAAAAAATAGACAGCTTTTCGATACCACCCTGCGGGGGTAAATCAACCTGTATTTGTAAAGTAATGGAGCGTTTCTCAGCATGGAATGTAGACGTTCAGCTCCCTGCCCGTTTTTCTTGTCAGGGCCGCGGATCTTCCTGAGTAAAAACTCAGTGTTTACCACATGCAGGTGGAAGGCTGGGAAAAGAATGCATCTCTTCATTCCACACAAACCTTCCGAAATGCAGTCACCCAGAGAGCCAGTCGGCACGAGGTATTTGAACATGGCGATCTTTATTAATGATTAGTCAATATGCAAACTTTCTTTGTCAAACATCATAACCATCGTTCCGTCTTAGTAACGACGGAGCCACCTGTTTTGATACCAACTACAACAGAACTCGCATAAAGTAGCATATTGGTAGCCAATTATCAGTTTGTTGCTGTCACTGTGCCAAACGTCCTCTTTCAGCCGTCAAAGAACCTAGAAGTTCTGATATATCGACCAAGAATGAATCCGGGGAACCAGGTACTAGTGAACTTCCAGTCGCTTCGTCACATTCCGTTGAAGACTCACAGGATGATGCTCCTCGTGATTGTGGCATTGTTCTGTCGGCCAACCCGAAAGACCGCATGTGCCACATCCAGTGGTTCCGTACAGTCGGTGAAGCAGAGAACAAGTGAGTTATATTCAGTAAATAATTGAATGTAGTAATTCTGGCTATTTTGTAATTTGCTTCGCGTGCTAGGCAGCTACATTTCCCATCTGATCACTCATTCCTTAACTGGTTTTCAAAATATCGAAGAACTGTTTCTTTGGGAGTTACAAACGGGTGTCCTTAGACAGTGTACGGGTAACTAGAATAAATTGACTTTGTTCTTGAATGTTCTTTTCGATCCATGTCCTCGTTTTGCCCTTATCACTTCGTGGGCATGAACCAGCTCGGCCGAACCTCTGTAAAAGAATAACGAAGTCCAGTGGGAGGAACCGGACCCAGTTTCGGTGTTCTCAGGCGAATACTTACTAGGCCAATCTGCGGGTGACTACTAGGGATATGAAAATGGAAGAATAGTCATATTTATTACCAGCAGAAAAACTAATCAACATTGACAGCCGTCTCTGCAACAGTCATTTTTCTCTCCTGTTGCAACAATTACCACGATAGTGATACGCAAGTGAACTGAAGTCAAACTAGCGTTCAGTTGGTGAATGGTTGGGCCAGGGCTTCACCTTCTATAGGCTTATTTTTCTGGATCATCACGCACTAGCTGGTCGAAGCTAGACTGGAGTGGATCAGTTTAAAATATTTTACCAAGTCTTTTCTAAAAAACTATCTCTAGTCATCGTGGAGAAACAAAAACACTCTGTCTAACTTCTGCTGGACGATAATGACGTTCATCCTACCTGAAGCTGACTTATCAATCTGGATTCAACTTGGTCACAATGGTGCTGCACTGCGTTGTATGTCAGAATGACTGAAATGTCATTCTGCTTGCGTCTAGAATTTTTATATATGGTGCATCTCAAGCCTTTAGTTAATTCTGCCGTTCGAGCTCCTCAGAGGACTGTGGGGTAAAAAAAACATTGAATCACTGTTGGCTCACAGCAAGACAAGCGATTGTTAGGTCAAATGGTGAAAGGCATCAATAAGAGATATTCTGAGCTTACGAGGCCACGCGCATTCTTTTTTGTGTAGCTTTATGGGAGTAGAGTCTAGTTAGTCCTGAACATGTTAACCACTGTGTCTCCTAGTCGATCCTCAGTTGTTATTTGTATAGGGACTTTGGCGTCGTACAGTCATCAGCCATTTACACACATGGCTCATCCCGCATTAGTCCATGATCAAGCACTTGATGATTACCAAATCCAAACGGATATTGGAAACTGATGATCATCTAACTTGACGTGTGTATCGAATTGGGTCGTTTTGTATCCTCCCGTGCACGTGTGACGGACTATCAAGTGTGAGGTGCATGTGATGGGATAGATTGACAAAAAAACTTACTGTTTGTCACCTGCAAGGAATCCTATATAGAATCCTTTCAAAGGTTACTATAGGGCGAAAGGTGTCGATTCGTAACATGTTTCTTTCGCTGTTCAGTTCACGTGCTGTCCATGTCAAATGTAAGAGTTTCCCAGTCGATAACGGAGGGACTACAAAATTCAGAAAATTAATGCGAGCAACCGCAACGTACACAAGTGGATGAGGTAGTGGGATAAATTGTCGACGTGATACATAATCTGGTTTATGCTTCGCTCTCCCACATTGCTGTGATGAGAACCATTACCCCTTCGCATCCGTCTATCGCATAGTCAAGTGATGTCACTCGAAATTCAGAAGTGTCGCAGGGGAGCAATACTGGCCGCTACTCACTGATTTGAAAGCGAACATTCGAATAGGGTTTGTCGTCTGTTTCTCCTATCCAGGCGAACGTCTATTTACCAGAGAGCGTTTGAGTGGGTTCTCACCACTAAGTTCAAAAATCCTTCTTAATCCCGTCGTCTGATTCAGAGTAGACACGTTTCGGATGAAATTAACTGGCCTGGGATACCCAACACAAGGATAAACACATCACCGATTCCATTCTGAGATGTGTACTGCTCTATTCCAACGGAAGATGAGATCGGAAACGAAGTCTGACTTTCTTCATCTGTTTTGTTTAAGCGTGGACGAACAGGGCTCGTCTAGTCTGACGTAACTATCGCGGAACATTCGGAAGGTGGTTGGATTGTCAGAGTGAATAGCATATATGTATGGCTTCTTGGATACTAGGATCATCGGGCCATCCGTCTATTCATGGTTGCTTGTAGACTTCTCGTTGGTATCATGTTACACACACTCACGAGGAACAGATTTGGGTAAACCAAGCGTGGTTCCGTTCGGTTTTCTTGGCCACATCCTGATTTTGTGAGAACTTCCCGAAGGTCGCCATACATACAGAAGACAAACAATTGTCCAGGTTTGAAAGAGGCCTTCGACTCATCTTGCCGCGCTACTTCATGATGGTGTATCCCCTCCAAATATGTCCTGAACATTTGAATATCTCAGTCCTTTTACTTTAAAGCCTTTTGTCCAAGTCCACGGAGAGTAGTACCAGGAATTAACCAATGAATTAACCCGCCTTTTCGACTTCTTTATCGAATTGGTTGTCGAGAAAACCATTGAAGCATCTAACACCCTGCATACACCTTTGGCAGGGACTTGAAGCCCTGGAGTATGACCCTACCGCTCAATTCCGTTCCCACTCCATCCCGATACAGCTATATTGGATAATCTAAATATTTGTGCCGTACGATTTGGCGTAACCTTTGCACCTTCAAAGTGTTATTTGAAGACTGGTTTGTACGTCACCAAACCTGATAATGGCAGCAGAACCACTTGGGACACTGGACAAGCTTACTTATCTGGGTGGTCACGTCGGATGGCAGCATTGCTGACGAATTGAATGACATAATCACTAAGGCCGTTCTGCTTTCCTCCAAATCCGGCGCCTCTGGGGTCGAAGTCACTTTAGTCCGTTTTTAAAATTAGGGTTAAGACTACGGCGGTGCATTCAGTGTTTCTTGGTCTGGCCATTGTGCTTTCAGGACAGAATGCTGCTCGTGTTTGACCGTCGGAAACATCTGACTGGCAATAAGGGTGGTGGATAGTTTTCTATAGCAAAAAATCGGTTTCACCTCTAATTGCTGGGTTGATTCGGCCGCACCAATTTCCCGGGCTCGGTCATGTTCTCCGTATTCCAAATAATCGCCGTGCCTTGTGTTCAGGCAGTTTTTGACTCGGATATGGAGTATGAAAAACAAGATGACTCAAGTGGTTAGAGCGCGAATCCAAATAATCGCCTTGTGTTCAGGCAGTTTTTGACTCGGATATGGAGTATGAAAAACAAGATGACTCAAGTGGTTAGAGCGCGAATTTACTTTACTAAAAGTTCTTGGTTCGAACCCGACCTCTGCCTCTCGACTTCCCCTGTCTAGGCTTGGGAAACCTGGCAGTATCCCAACCCTCGTGCTTCCTTCAGGTGGCATGGCAGCTAGGCACCGGAAGGGCGTTGCAGCTGAACGATTTTTTTTAATGAAAAACAACGAAGGGCTTAGCTGCCAGCTACATGGAGAGGAAAGAAAGAAACGTTCAGCTGTAGCACCCTGTCGGTGCCTAACTGCCATGCCACCCGAAGGTTGCACAAAGGCTGGGATACCGCCATGTTACCCAGACCTAGACAGGGGAAGTCGAGGGGTAGAGGTCGGGTTCGAACCACGTACCTTCCGGTCAGTAAATTCGCGCTCTAATCACTTGGGCCATCTCGCCCCTGCCAGCTATATGCTACACATCTCAAGTAGCTATGGACACAATATTTGTGATTTTTTTGTTGAGTTACCCCACCCTCACGGTGGATTACTGTATTAGGATGTCTACAAAAGCCAGTTACTTCTCTCTCGCACATACACACAATCCACACAGGAAACTTATTCCTATCGGTCCGCCAGAGGACGCCGGTGTTTACGAGTTAACTGCCTCTTCTGACCGTCAGCTAAACTATGGAGATGTGCTGTTGACACAAGCCACAGATGACCCTTCTCATGCGCATATTCCTGCTTGAAGCATCTAACACCCTGCATACACCTTTGGCAGGGACTTGAAGCCCTGGAGTATGACCCTACCGCTCAATTCCGTTCCCACTCCATCCCGATACAGCTATATTGGATAATCTAAATATTTGTGCCGTACGATTTGGCGTAACCTTTGCACCTTCAAAGTGTTATTTGAAGACTGGTTTGTACGTCACCAAACCTGATAATGGCAGCAGAACCACTTGGGACACTGGACAAGCTTACTTATCTGGGTGGTCACGTCGGATGGCAGCATTGCTGACGAATTGAATGACATAATCACTAAGGCCGTTCTGCTTTCCTCCAAATCCGGCGCCTCTGGGGTCGAAGTCACTTTAGTCCGTTTTTAAAATTAGGGTTAAGACTACGGCGGTGCATTCAGTGTTTCTTGGTCTGGCCATTGTGCTTTCAGGACAGAATGCTGCTCGTGTTTGACCGTCGGAAACATCTGACTGGCAATAAGGGTGGTGGATAGTTTTCTATAGCAAAAAATCGGTTTCACCTCTAATTGCTGGGTTGATTCGGCCGCACCAATTTCCCGGGCTCGGTCATGTTCTCCGTATTCCAAATAATCGCCGTGCCTTGTGTTCAGGCAGTTTTTGACTCGGATATGGAGTATGAAAAACAAGATGACTCAAGTGGTTAGAGCGCGAATTTACTGATGGAAAAGTTCTTGGTTCGAACCCGACCTCTGCCTCTCGACTTCCCCTGTCTAGGCTTGGGAAACCTGGCAGTATCCCAACCCTCGTGCTTCCTTCAGGTGGCATGGCAGCTAGGCACCGGAAGGGCGTTGCAGCTGAACGATTTTTTTTAATGAAAAACAACGAAGGGCTTAGCTGCCAGCTACATGGAGAGGAAAGAAAGAAACGTTCAGCTGTAGCACCCTGTCGGTGCCTAACTGCCATGCCACCCGAAGGTTGCACAAAGGCTGGGATACCGCCATGTTACCCAGACCTAGACAGGGGAAGTCGAGGGGGAGAGGGCCATGCCACAGGTTGCACAAAGGCTGGGATACCGCCATGTTACCCAGACCTAGACAGGGGAAGTCGAGGGGTAGAGGTCGGGTTCGAACGAACCACCTTCCGGTCAGTAAATTCGCGCTCTAATCACTTGGGCCATCTCGCCCCTGCCAGCTATATGCTACACATCTCAAGTAGCTATGGACACAATATTTGTGATTTTTTTGTTGAGTTACCCCACCCTCACGGTGGATTACTGTATTAGGATGTCTACAAAAGCCAGTTACTTCTCTCTCGCACATACACACAATCCACACAGGAAACTTATTCCTATCGGTCCGCCAGAGGACGCCGGTGTTTACGAGTTAACTGCCTCTTCTGACCGTCAGCTAAACTATGGAGATGTGCTGTTGACACAAGCCACAGATGACCCTTCTCATGCGCATATTCCTGCTGGTTACATCGAAGATATCTATCCAGAAACTGGTAAACTGCTAATTCACTGGATTGATGGAACGAAGACGGAAGTACCTCGTACACAGTGTCTGTTGCCGGTGGATGCAGTAAGTAACCACTTACCCTGAATCA